GGGGGGGGGGGGGGGGGAGGAGGACACCGTTCTCGGGGTCGGAACACCCAGAGCCTAACTCCGGACGAGCCAGCCACCGGGCTGCCGTCCCCCGTCCCCCGGTCCCCGTCGCACACGGCACACGGAGCCCGGAGCCAGCCACGGAGGGCAGCCCTTTTCCCGTACCTTCCTTTCCCCCGCCGCTGCCCCGGGGCTCCTCAGGCCCCACCTCCCACCCCGGCAGCCGAGCCCTGCCCGGGGCTCCACCGCGTACTTTCGCCTCCCTGAAGTTTGGGGCTCCCGGGGCGGCCGGGAGCCGCCCGCCGGCGGCGAGGACCGCTCCGCCGCCGCCGCCGCTGCTGTTGTTGTTGTTTTCCCCCCGCGGGCGGCTCCAGCCCCGCGCCCCCCGGGGCTCCGCACCCCACCTCAGGCGGCGCCGAGCCCGGGCGCCCGAGAGGTGCTCGCCTTGCAAACGCAGCCTGGCACCGGCTGGCCTACTCCTCCCCGGCCCGGCCCCCGCGGCTCGCGCCCGCCGCCCGCGCGCCCCCCGGCCCGGGCCCGCCGGCGCGGCCGCCGCGACCCCTCACGAGGCCCGACCTCTCGCCACCCCCAAAGTTTTTGGCTGAGGGGAAAAGTGGCCCCCGCGAGGCGCCGGCCGGGAGGGGGGGACGGCTCGGGCTCCCGGACGCGCGGGCTCCCCTCGCCCGCCTTCCTCAAGTCCACCCTACCGGCTGCCGCCGCCGCTCCTGCCGCCGCCTCCTCGGGCTGCAGCCCCGGCCGCCTCGCAAGTGAGTAGGGGAAACAGAAAGTGCGGGAGAGCGCCCGCGGAGCCTTGCGGATGGCGGGCGCCTACCTCGCGGGCTCGCCGCGGCGCGACGGCGTGCGGCCAGTCAGGGGCTCTCTCCTCCCTCGCTCGCTCTGGGAAAGTGGAGGAGAGGGGGGAAAAGCTCGCGGAGCCGCGCTGCCTCCGCTCCGCTGGACGCTGCTCCACATACAGTAACATGCAGACCCCGGGGAAGACTGAAAACACTCATTTTTATATAAGGCAGCCTCCCATTGGCCCGCGCCGTGACGGACGGCCGGCGCAGCCAAACAGGACGCGCGTTACACCCAAACACACGCACACATACACACATTTCGCAGGGACACACAAAGATCATCACATCTTCTGTTTCCCCAGTGTTCGGGACCTGTAGGCAGTGGGCGAGGACAGGTAGAGAGGCCCGGCGGAGCAGGGGGTCGCGGGGGAGAGCCGTCCCCGGACCAGGTTGCCAGGCTTGAAACTGGTGTCCTTTTGACTTGGGAGGGTTATGGTAATAAACTACAACTCCACTGGATGTGGAAGTGGGGGGGCGGGGGGGTTGATCGCTGCCTTGTGCTGCCCCGTGAAAGAGGCGAGCATTGTGTTATGATTTTTCAGCCCGGCCTGCTAACAAGTGGCCGAGGGACGCTTTGATCGGCTTGGATTTCTTTTGTCAATGGGTTAGGCATCACATAGGCCAAAATAGTGCAAGTTAAGTTTATCAAGACTAGAATGCACTGAGGTTGTTAATGCCTCCTTCGTGGGCAAATTTTTAAAATAAAAATCAATAAAGCACACAGAAACAAAGATAAACCTTTAGCTAGAATAGCTGAGTGCACACTTAAAAGTCAGAGGGCAATCACCTGTATGGCCATACAAGATGTGCTGAAAGGTAAACACCTTGGGGAAAAATGGCTATTGACAGTCTGCCTTAGAAATAGGCCTCTTGGTTCAGTATAGCCAGGATTTATATTTTACGATATATGTGATGTGGTCCTACGCTTTATATGTGTCCCACTGTGTGTGGCTACTGTATGTTTGGTGACTTTCAGAGACGGTGAATATGAGATCTAGATTTAATGATATTTTTTCCTATACTGCATTTTTGGCAGATCATGTTTAACAGTTCGATATAAACAAGCCAAAGGGTTACTGAGAAAAAAAAAAAAAAAAAAAATCAGTCCTTGAAATTAAAAGGAACAAAATTCACACACAAGTTTTTAACTACTTGAACAATCCTGAGCAAATGAGTTTTTTTAGTCACTTTCATTCTTAGATTTGATTTTAGTTTTTATTTGGAGATTAAAATAAGCTTTCCCAAGATTGCCTTCATTAAATGGTTATTCAGCATCTACAACTCACTGGCACTATTCTAGAACCCAGATGTTTTCCTGGAGTTCCTTCTGACCAAGTTCCAAATTTCAAGAATCTTACATACAGTTTTGAAGATTAAATAGTACGATTTTTATAGCCTGGCTGATAGCTTAAATTTTTAAAAGAAAAATGAATAAGATAATCTTTTTTGTTTTATTTATTTTATTTTTTTGAGACAGGGTTTTGACTATGTAGCCTTGCCTGGCCTGGAACTAGATATGTAGATCAGATCAGGCTCTCCTTGAACTCGGAGAAATCCCACTGCCGCTTTCTCAAGAGTGCTGGAGTTAAAGGTGTGTGCCACCACACCTGTTCCGTCTATTTTACTCCCTTGATGCCATCCTAAGATATTTTTCCCACAGCCATGAATATATTAAATGAACCTGTGTGTTTCTGTAAGCATGGAAAAAAGAAACAGATAAAGAAAAAAAAACAAGTTTATGAAGTTTAGAAAACAAAGTAGTGTGTAGAGATGTGGTGTTCCATTTATTTTTAAAAGGAAATAATTTTTTTAAATACTTTAAACCCACAGTATTCAAAGTGATAATACTGAAGGTCATATACTATCCCTCAGCATTCAACTGACAGAAAGAAGCAAGTGTGCCTTTTTCAGGCCACACTGCACTGCAGTCTGTGTTAACTGCTATCTTTGTTTTGCCCATAAGATAAAGGAGTCATCCTGGCAGGTGGCCCACGCCTTTAATCCCAGCACTCAGGGAGGCAGAGGCAGGGGGATTTCAAGGCCAGCCTGGTCTACAAATGGAGGACAGCCAAGGCTACAGAGAGAAACTCTGTCACGAGGGGAGGAGGGGAGAGAGAGAGAAAGGAGGCAGAGACAACTAGGTTAGTACAGAATGTCAGTGATGAAGGAAATTAAGGCCAGAACAGTTAGGTTTTGAGCCCCTTAGAGGCCCGGTTTTTGGTTGGTTGGTTGGTTGGTTGGTTGGTTGGTTGGCATTTGGTTTTTGGTTTTTTTGAGACAGGGTTTCTCTGTGTGGCCTTAGCTGACTTGGACTAACTTTGTAGACCAGGCTGACCTCAAACTCACAGAAATTTGCCTGCCTCTGCCTCCCAGAGTGCTGGGATTACAGGCGTGTGCCACTACACCAGCAAGGCTCTGTTTTTGAAATGGCAAACTTTAGAGACAAGAGGCAGGTGGAGGAAATGTTCTCGAAGGATTTCAATGCACTGCTTTTTGAAGAATTAAAAAAATCAGCAAACATTGGTGTGTTTCATTGCTGAGTGAAGTGCCTTGGTATGCCACTTACGGTAGCAAATTATGCAAAATGAAAAATACGTAAAGACAGCCCACTTCCCACTTTTACTTCCAACTTCAGGGAAACACAAAGGTATTTTTGTTAAGTACATTTAACATAATTGAATTATCTAATGTTACAATAATCAAACTTTCATATTACACAATACCATCAGAAAAAGGATATTTATCTATACACTAAAATATATCAGTATGGATATTTTTTTTATTATTTATAAAGCACCATAACTAAAGTGAAAAGTCATGCAATGAATAAAAAGTAAAACTAGTTTTAATTTATTCCATAGTCCACTTGAATATGGACTCCTCTGAGTATTCTCCAGGGTTTTGCATTCTAGTTTAGCAATCTCTGACAGTGAAAGGGCTAACTGACCCAGACTGATGCATGAAAACACAAGGGAGGCTGGACAGAAGTCATTCCCTTCCAAGTCATTATTTCCTAGAAAACTGGTGAGTTACATACACAGCCTTCAGAATGGATATAATTATACTTGCACACCTTTAAGCCCAGGACTTGTACTCTGGAGGCGCAGGTGGGTGGATCTCTGTGAATTCAAGACCAGCCTAGTCGATGAATCAAGTCCAGGACAGCCTGGACAGTTCTGTTATACAGAGAATCCCTATCTTGAAAAAACAAAAAAGTAGTCCATTTGCATTGAGCATTATCATGTTGTTCTATAGGCCTATTTCATGTTCTGCTCCAGGATGTGTGTTGAGTAGATCTCTATGCCAGGCACTCTGTACACACCAGAATCACTCACTCCTAAAAATAGTGGAATTCCATCCCCTGGAGTGATTGACATATCAGTCCTCATGACTAAGTAAAGAAAAGAAGCTTACAACTATCTTTAATATACCATCTTACCATTTTGGAAATATTTTCCAGATGTTTAATATTTTATTTGAGAATAAGAATCAAAGAATTTTAAATTCTAATGGTTCTGTAAAACTTAAAATACAACTGAGAAAAAAATCATAGCTTTCGGAGAATTTATTTAATTTTTATATTATTTTATTTTGTTTTGTTTTATTTTTTGAGACAGGGTCTCTCAACACAGCTCACTTTGTAGAGCAGGCCTGACTCTGCCTCCTAGAGTTCTGGGATGATAGGCATGTGCCACTGTGCCTGGCTTTTATTTAATTTTTATAATATCAGCTTATGAGTGCAAGCAGCGAGCGTTTTCCTAGGTCAACAGTTCTTTGTTTTCAATCACAGGTTGACCTCACATGCTTAGCATGGACCTTCTGGGTGTCTGTCTTAATTGTCCAGTTTCCTAGCCTTATTTTAGGAAAGTCAGTTTAAATATTTGCATGAATGTGTATATGCCTATGTGTCTGTTATTTAAATATATAAGTAACTGTATGTCTTCTATTTTTATTCCTTTTACAAATCCTCCAACAGCCTTATAAAAAAATATTCTTAATCACCCTAGAAATTACTTTCCTTGTTTATAAAATAATGACATAAGAGTAATTAAAATTCAAGTGTTTTATGTACATATTATATATAATTTTAATTACTCTTATCCCCATTTTATAAACAAGGAAATATATATATATAAAGTACTTAAGTAGAATAGCTATAAGTAGTCAATCAGTGTTAGACATTTGTTTATCTTTTACATATAAAAGTCAATGGCACAAAGTTTTCTGAAGCATAACTGTCACACGTATAGTTTACAGATCTTGTTACCTTGTTTGTGATTACTTTTTACGCCAAACTCTATGGATTCCTTCATCTCTACACATATCAGTAGATAGCATGGTAGTGTTTGTCTGTTATCCTAACAGTGGGAGGAGAAAGTGTAGAAGTTCAAGGCCAGCCTCATTTATATAGTGAGACCTTGTCTCAAAAAATTAAAATAAAAAAAATGAATAAAATGAAGGAGTGATATCAGCCTCAGCCCAAAATAAAGCAAACAATCAGCTGGGCATAAAAGCACCTAAAAAAAGCAGTTACTTACTGATCATTCTTTGACACAGACCAAACTTGAGAAAGTTACAGTGCCGTAGATAACAATCTATGGCTCATCCTTGACCTTTCTGAGATTCGCTTCTTTTCGGTATAATAGATATGCATATATATAATGTGTGTAAGGGAGTGGGAATCATACCTCTTTCCTTAAAGCCAATGTAAAGCACCTAAGAATTGAAATCTTATTGTTGGGCCAAAGCTGAAATTTACAAAACTAAAGAGAACCAGCAGATTTGAGGATAAGAAGAAAGAGAATAAATAACCCACTCTCCTAGGGTGGTGCTCAGTCGAGTACTTTGGAATCCCTAATCTCTCGTGATCCTCTGTGGGATTCTATCTGTATCGCTCTTAAAAGGCATCCAGATATTTTTCTTAGGATTGTACAGTGATGTATTGACAGAAGTCTTTAACCAATGGCAAATACCTTGAGGAAAACGATGACATCTCCCTCAACATCTTGTTTTCCAGCAATGCCCAGAATTGTAACTAGCATAGTGCCAGAAATGTGGCAGAAAGCAAAGATCTAGACAACAAATAAACAAGAAAAACAACTTGGAAAGGCCATCCATGCTAGAAAATAAAATAAAATAAAATAAAACACTCAGTATTCTGAAAAGAAAGAGACGATAGAGATGATAGGGGCCCCATATAAATCATAAGCAGAATTGATATTATAGCCACCAAAAGGTTATATTTTCATATTGTTTAATAGTCTAAAGTATTTACATTTTAGATAACCTGGCATGCTCACTGAAATCCATTTAAGATTAATAAGATAAATAGCAAGATAGCCTTTTCCCCATCATTGTTTTATATTACTTATTTTATTTTATATCTTATTTATAGAATATAATTTTCTATTGTAATTTGCATATCATTTAATATATAGGTATTATAAAATAATTTATATATTTATATAATATAATTACATCATTTCTCCTTCTCTTTCCTCCCTCCAAACCGTCCCATATATATCCCTCCTTGTTCTTTAAATACACGAGCTTTTTTTTTTTAATTAAGTGTTGTTGTTGTGTGAGTTTGTGTGTGTGTGTGTGTGTGTGTGTTCCTAAATACATAAATACAACCTGTCAGTCCATGTAATGTCAGTTATATTTGTGTTTTCAGGGCTGACCATTTGGTATTGGGTATTCAGTTGGTGTGATCTATCCCAGGTTGAAGACCGTCAGCATTCCCATTCAGCATTTCTCAGTTGCCTGTAACTGTGTGAGGCTGAGTCGACATTAGCAGGTATATTGGTATTGTCCATGTTTCAGGATCGCTTTTCTCTTTGTTTGTTTGTTTGTTTTTCGAGACAGGTTTTCACTGGGTAGCACCGGCTGTCCAGGAGCTCATGCTGTAGACCAGGCTGGCCTCAAACACAGAAATTTGCCAGCCTCTGCCTCCTGAGTGCTGAGAATAAAGGGGTGCTCCACAACCGCCTTGGCCCAGGTTTGCTTTTTGATTGTGTTTTTTGTTGGTGGTGGTGGCAGCAGGGGAGGGGGAGTTGAGAAGGAAAGGGGGTTGCTGGGAGTGGGGGCAGAGGGAATTTGTTTTTCTTTTCCTTTTTGAATAGGGTCTTATTGTAGACCAGGCTGGTTGGGAACTACCTTTGTAATGGAGGATGACCTTGAACTAAAGATTCTTGTGCCTGCAACTCTCAAACCCTGGGATTACAGTATGGGCCACCATGTCCAGCAGGATTGTCTTTTTAAGAATTAAAAATTCAAGTAAGTGAGGAAAGATTAAATGATCCTCTCAATATTATTCAGCTAGTAGCAAAGCTGGCTTAGCCTCTTAGTTCTGTGAAGTTTCTCTTTCCACCTCTTTTTTTCTCTTTTTCTTTCTTTTTATTTATCTGTCTGTGTATGAGTAGAAGGAAGTGGAATGTACCAGAAAGTTGTATCATACAAATTGGTCTCGGCATGGAAAATAGTTTCCCACTAGTGAATCTGATTATCATTTAACACCAGCAGGAAGATCTTTCTAGCAGTGTCCTGTCGGAAGCTTCAACTGCGTTCTCAGCAAGGGACTTCGGTTCTCCCACACCCAGCTCCTGCCAGTGGCCCTGTTCCCAACACAGCTCATTTCTTCTGTCAATTTTGATCATTATACAGTTCTTACTGGCATTTACCATAATTTTTCTCCTTTTAAGTTCTAGCTACTGTTCTTTTTTCTCTGCTCCCTTGAGACCACGTAATCTAATCCCTGTGCCACACCGCATGTCAAATGTGCAAAGACCACTCTCATAACCACATCTAGGTCTGTTGTCTTTCCCAAGCTAGTTCTACTATCTGAACACATTCTTTCTAGAGGACCACTCTTGACTCTTTGTCCTTTCACACAGACCCTGCCTATTGTCTTTGTGGTTGTGCTCCTTCAAGTGTGACACACAGGCGGAGGCTGAGTAGTGTAGGGTACAGAGTGAGCACAGATCCTCGATAAAATAGTTCTATTAATACAAACTACGATTTTAAGCTCTGTTGGCCTGTTTTGTGCTTAGTCTCAAAAAGAAAAGAAAAAAATTGTTTTGTTTTGAAGGATGGGCCAATTTTGTATAATTTATTTGGGGGAATTGAGGTACAAGAGTTTATAGCTTACTGTACAGTAGTTCAGAACTGGTGCCTTAGGACTATACCATCAAAGGCTGTTTGTTATCCATGTCTTTATTCTAACATGTACTAGCATTGTGATCTAGGAAAGATTTTTGTAACTTCTGTTTGCCTGGGTTTCTATTAACATTTCAGAAGGTTATCATACCTGCACTAGAGTTAAAATAGTATTTAGCATGCAATATACTCTTAGTAAATGATGGTTTTCTTTCTCTCTTCCTTTTTTTCTAACATTCATCCCTGATTTCCTGTTGCAGCACTATTTTGTAGATCAGTTAATTCATTCAGCACATATGCTATTGATTTCAATATCTGTGATTTATTCACAAATTTCATGCCTTCCTATATTTTTTTCTCAGTTTTTTTTAAAGCATTGTCAAAGGTAGAACGCAAAGTGCATGCCTCCCAACACATTCACCTTCACCCATTAATCAGCATTCCACATTTATTGAGCTTGTCCCAGAACCACCCAAATTTGTGTTATTTGAACTCAGAGGAATTTATAGTGCATGATATAGTATACCAGTCATCTGAGACTGTGACTACAGCTTAGCATGTTTATAGCGCCTTAGACTTCTTTTTAAGGAACTAGACAGTGAAGGTTAAGTTGGGACCTCTTTCTTTATCTGTTCTTCCTCTAGTTTTCCCTAGAAATGATTACTGTTTTATAATTTTGCTACCATTATGTACATTTTTTTACAACCCACTCACAAAAATACCTGATACAGCTTTGTCAGAAAGCTTTATAAAATTTTAACTTGTATTTATTAATTTTATAAGAGAAAAATTTGTTCTTATTGAGAGTTTTATATCTCTTGCTGAATAAAATGAAAACAGAAACTTCCAACAGGATGTGAGATAGACTAAAGGAAAAAAAAACTGTAGAATGAAATCTCAGAAAGCCACCCTCTCCAATTACTGAGATCATGTCATTAGAATTTTTACCTAATATTAATCAATATTTTACCTAATAATAATCAACTAATTTTAATAGAAATTTTTTAAATTATTTTACAAATTGTCATTAATGTACCCCAAGTTTCCCCCACCCCATTCTTTGTGTCACTTAAAATAAAGGGACTGAATTCACTTGGCTTCACCAGTGTCTTCTGCTTAGGCTGTGGACCAGGTAGAAGAGGACATCTTGCTTGATTCTCTCAATAAGCATGAGTAGTTACCCAGTGTGGGAAGTGGGGGGGGGGGGCAGTGGTAGAAGAAACAGGGGTTTCTGTTAGGACAGAAATACTTAACTGGGTCTAGTTCTTGTTCACTGGATAGACCACATAAATGCTATATTATCATGTGTGTGTCAAACATACTTTTAGAATGAATAATGAACTTGGAGAAAATAGACAAGAAATTAATTCAGAGAGAGGTTTTTGTTTTGTTTTGTTTTTGTTTTGGGTTCCTGAAGTAAAAGCAAACCTAGCACTAAAAGAAGGCAAATAGGTATTGAACAGGCAAGCGAGATATCCCTTGTAGACTCAGTTTCTTATAACCCTGTTACAAAATAATCTGGGTAAGCCTTCTGCCGATTGCTTTGTCCTTTCTTTATTTCCTTCACTTGCCTGACTAGTCAGATTTCATTTAGTTTCAAAGGCCATACAGCCAGTCAGATCAGCTTAAACGGAAAAAAGAAAAAGAAAAATTAATTGTACCACAATTGGAATCTCCCACAGAGCTCAAGGACTTCACGATAACAAAACATAAAAACAAAAGCACATCGCCTGACAGTCACCAGGTGAAGGGCAAGCATTCCCAGCTATGGGGATGGTGAATGCTGGAGATTGGGTATTTTTATGTGTGGTTAAGCAAAAACTGCCCTTAGAGGTGAGCTAGCTGGGGATGGCAGAGGCTAATGGGTATTGTACCACAGAGCATTTTCTAAACCCTTGCCTTGACTCTGTGATTCATTTACTACCCTGTAATTTGCAGAATCTGCCTTTTCTCCCCAACCTGGAAAATTTAGCTACAATTACTTACAATGTTTATGACCTGATGTTGTGCCTGCAGCTATCCAGAAGTATGTTATTTCTTCATATGCTATCTATTTCTTACATTCTTTGACTGGTTCTGGCAACAATTTTTAGCGTCACAGTTTGGTTTTAATTGTGTGTATTTTGAAGACTTTCAGGTACGATCTGATGAAGCTAGGAAAGGTGGAGTCATAGGTGGTCTCAGTTTTTTTGTTTGTTTGATTGGTTGGTTTGGTTTGGTTTTTACTTTCTATCATATTCCACAGAGAAGTGTTCAAAATCAGATGAAAAAAGGGGAAGATCTGTTAGAACTGCTATACAAGCAAAGTGTCAGCAAAGAGCAACTGAGAGAAAACTGTAACCTCTACCCAACCCCCAAATGAGGGAGGATCATCAAGGCTGGGAGATAGGCTGGGAGTATTATCTGGGGGTACAATTTTAATACAGGAAGCACAAGTGACCAAGAGTAGGATGAGAACAGTAGGAGTCACATACCACTGAGAAATTGCCTAAAAAAAAGATACACTGAGGTAGAGAATGTAACCGCCATGGCTTGGGGAGGCAGTATTAAATGTCAGGTTTTGTATGGATTCAGCAGTAGGCTTACCCGGACCACACAAGAAAACAAGAAGCAAATATGTTGAGGCTAGCCTGTGAGAAAGAAGAACAAAAAAGAGACATTAAATAATGTTCTTGAAATTAGACTGAAACTTCACAACAGAATAATTGATTCTGGGTCTTGAAGTGCTTAGCTATTTGGAAAGATGTGGTCTTTTTTTTTTCTCCCCATAATTCCACACTTTTCCTTAATATGCCATCTTCCTTTCTCAAAATCAAAATTTTGTGCTGAACTTTGGATTTGATACAGCTCTCTTTACGAACTTTAGATCGGGGGTTGTGGATCACCAACATGCTGGCTACCCCTTGCGCTGTAGAAAAAAGAAAATAATTAAGGGAAAAATTGCCTGTTACAATTGAGGGAGTTGAGAAGGAGGGAAGAAAGAGGGCAAAAGGAATATGGCAAAGAAAAAGAGCAGGTCCTGTGGTGGTTTGATTGAGAATGGCCCCCCAGAGGTTGATAGTATTTGAATGCTTGGTACCCAGTTGGTAGAACTGTTTGAGAAGGGTTGAAGGTAGGGCTTTGTTGGAGGAGGTGTGTCTCTGGGGGTGGCCTTTGAAGTTTCAAAGGCCCGTAACAAGTCCAGTTTCACTCTCTCATTCCCTATCCCAGATGTGAAACTCGTGTCAGATGTAGCTCTGAGCTACATCTCCAACACCATAGCTGCTTCCCTGCTGCCGGGCTCCTTACCATGATGGTCATGGATTAACTCCCTGAAACTATAAGCGAGCTCCCACTGAAATGTGTTTCTATAAGTTGCCTTGGTCATAGCATCTCCTCACAGCAATAGAACAGTAACTAAAACATGGCTCAACCAGAGAGGGGGAGGGTAACGATATCATACAAACTATCACAGATAGCTTGAGATAGAACAACGAAGCCTTCTTAAGCTTCTTTGGCATCTGGTGTATCAGTGTTCTTGATCCTTTCAATCCTCATTACTCCATGCATTAATTAAGTCAATGGTTGGGGTTGACATATGTTGTTGCTTCTAAACTTTAATTTCTGAATAGAGTCCCATTCCTTATCCTTTCCAGACAAAAC